TAACCCGAAATTTTCGGGTCGGATTTTCGGGTCGTGTCAAATATTGACACCCCTACCGACTATGGTCCTTTTGACCATTGTTGTTTAACTATAGTCCCATTAACCTTTGTCACCCGATAAGGTCCGCAACCCACCTTTCTTTCGATCTTCGTCACCCCCTATAGTTGTTTGGCCTTATTTGTCTAATTGCAATCCTTATGACATTGATTACCCTCCAACTATGGTCCTTAGACCTTCGTCGTCAGTCGATTATGATCATTTCGACCTCTATCACGTGCCGACTACGATCCCTTTGACCTTTATCGCCTGACAACAATCCCTCTAACCTTGACCATCCTACTACAGCCCCTTCGTCCTCCATTGCTAGCTGAGAATGGTACTTCTTATCTCTGTCATTCACTGACTATGGTCCCTCCGACCTCTATCGCCTGACTACCATCTCCAACCTTCGTCGCCCCGGCTACAATCCTACCGGCCAAAGGAACATGCCAATGTTATATTGAGAACAACTCTTATGTCATTGGATTCTTCGAGCTTCAATCATATAATTTGCTTTATACGATGTATATTAGCTACATTGAGCCAACACGTTCCCCCGAGGATGGGCATTATTTGTAAGCAATGACAAGCACTAGTTGAATCATTTCAACTATGTAAGGCCCCATGGGTTTTCCCATTTCAAGATTTCCATATAAAAATTATAATGTCCCTTATGATTATTGTACCCCTCTCTCTCTTATATGTATATGTATTGGATATTCGTATAAAACTAAGAAGTTAAACGCTCTATTCTTCTACCGCTATGAATTTTCCAACATGTAACAATTTTATTTATGCATGTGACATAAAAATTGATTGAATGCAAAATAAATTGGAGTCCATTGCATGAATTAGATATTGGTCACATCTATTAAGAACTAAAAATTTAATAATACAAGTAATGAGGTAATTATAAATGTTTTCAAAACCAAAAGACTGAAAATGTTTTATGAGTTAAGTGATTGGGAAATTATTGCTCTTCTTTTATATGCCAGGATGATATTTTCTAATTATTAAAAAATATACCATTGGATCTTCTTTTATAGTGATAAAGTGTCAGTGGTTGGGAGATTATAGTTGGACAACAATGTTCAAAAGGATCGTAGTTGGACAATGATGTTCGTGAGGAACATAGACAGGCACGATGGTCGAGAGATTGTTACCGAGTAATTATGCTAAGAATATTATAGTCAAGTGACGAATTTTAGGAGATAGAACTCGAGTGATGTTAATTAAGATATCGTAATTATGATACAATAATTGACAAAGTTCGACGGCTATAGTTGGACAGTGGTGGTCAAAAGATGTTCTTCGACGGCTATAGTTGAGCAATAATGGCCTGACGATTGTGGTCTACTGGAGCAATGAGAAATTTCAAACCTCTGAGTTCCCCTTTTAATCCTTCATAAAGGGTGATGAGGATTTATTTATAATTTTTTTGAGTGAAATTCTTCTTAAAAATAGTCCCCCAAAAAACTCAATCAAATAACTTGTATTAATTATGTTGGCCATAAATCATTTTTTCATCATTTAAGTGGTTTAATGATGTGAAAATACGAGTTATTGGGCTTATTAGATAAGTCTTGTCAAGATGTTCTATTCAATCATAAGCATGCATTATTTGGATTTCATTTGGTCATCTAAATAATATTTTGAAGTTTTGAACTATACATCAAGTGCTTTATCTGTTTTGGTGTTGTTGGGCTCGTCTCGTTAAGACATTTAGTCCAACAATCAATTTGTCAAAATTAGAGTTCAAACGACCCTGGATTTAATTCAATAAATTTCTAACCTAAAAATTTCATCAAAATCATGTAAATTTTTTAGTGACATATCAATCCATATTCATTCATATCCAATTTATATTTCACTTAATCTGATTTATGCTCAACTCAATCCAAATTCAATTTTAAATATGTTGGGCTCATTAACCAGCTCTTTAACCTCAATCCTAACAAGAAAATATGAAAATTTTAGCGATCTTTTATCTCCAAATCAAATATATAGCCCTACCAACAGTAAATTTTTCTCATATCTTTTGAAAAAGATACAGCATATGAATTTTTCTTTTTACAATATAGTTCTGGTAGTACAACCCAGTAAATATAAATTTCAGTCAATATCCCTCTTTGTTTCGAAAATAATTAGGCGAAAATTTAAACAACTTTTTTTTTTAATAAAGAATTAGAAGAGAATTTCTAATATTAATTTAGGGTGTGTTTTGCTACAAATTTTTATAAAGGTGATTATAAAGTTATTAGGAAGAAAGTAATATATTTTAAATTTAATATAAAATGTAGCTTCTTAGCATAAAAAAATTCTTAAAAATAATGATAAATTAGTGATTAAATATGAATTGTCGTTGCAGTCTGAAAATTAAAATAATTGGAAGCTATCTCAAACAAAATCTTATGTAGTTAGATTTTCATTTAGAGAATATGAAAAAAAAAAAGTTTTCCCCATAAAAACAAATAATTTTTTTTTAATTTTAATATGAAAATAGAAAACATAAACTTCAATATCCCTCTTTGTTTCGAAAATAATTAGGCAAAATTTTAAACAGCTTATTTTAATAAAGAATTAGAGGAGAAATTCTAATATTAATTTAGGGTGTGTTTTGCTACAAATTTTTATAAAGATGATTATAAAGTTATTATGAAGAAAGTAATATTTATTCATTTTATTTAGTTTCATGTTTATAATATATATATTTATATATATCAAACATGAATTTATCTACCTAGAATTTAATAAAATTTTAGATAATTTAATTAAAATAAACATTTTTTTCTTTTTAATGTCTTTTTTAATAAAATAAATAATTCTAAAAGAATTTAAGTTAAGACTTCATTTGCGCTAGAAAGTTGTTATAAAAAATAATAATAAAGATGTCTCAATCAAAGTCAAAGACTTTTTTTTTGGAAAATTGAGGGCTTGAGCCCATATATTACTATGTAAAAAATGTTACAAGTAAGGTATAATAAAAAGATTTATCCTCAAACAAATGGAGGATAAACCAAAACCTATACCTCCCAAAAGAGCCAATAAAGAGCAGAAAGAAAACATGTAAAGACCAACAACACCTCAAAAATAAAAAAATGATTTTTGATCGCCCAAAATTGGACTCAGACAGCTAATCGCATAACAAACCAAAGTCCAGCTAAGCCGTTTAGTGTTCTCCTGGCTGCCCAAGAGGCCCTCCAAGGAGATGATTAGCAGCTACATCATCGTCCTCCGTCATAAAACCAACCAGACCTGTCCTGGTTGCCAAAAGCCGTCCAGGAACAGGAAATAACCAGCTGATGCTGTGAACCGAGAGCAAAAATATCCATCCAAGATAATAGCTTCCAGAAATGCTGCCCAGCCCATTCATAACAGAGATAATAAGCTACTTCATGCTATAGAAAATAGAAAATCAGAGAAAACACCTTCCACCCAGAAAGCATACTACCAGAAAAGAAATCAGCCGAAAGAATGGCCAGAATCAAGATGGCCAGGGGATGCTCAAGTTGTCTTTATACTTCCAAGAGGATACCTTCTCCTCTACTGCATGTTTGATAATATAGCATAAAGTGGAAACACGTCTAAACTTAAAGTTGAATCTCCTCTCATTTCTTTCCCTCCATAGGTGATATGTGGCACAGCAAACCGTAAGCAGTACAAATTCTCTTTGATTTTTAAGCATATAACGTCTCTCACCAAAGAAATGAAGAACTTGTATAAGCCTAGGTCTCAGGAGGAAATCCCCCACAGTTGGGACCAGATTTTTCAAAATTGCAAAAGCATAATCACATTCAAACAAGATGTGAGAGTTAGACTCATTATGTGAAGAACATAAAAAACAAGTAGGCTGCACTACAATATTCCTTTTAATGAGCTACTCAGCCATTTTGAGCCCACCGTTAAGAGCAATCCAAGTGTACGTGGAATATTTAAGTGCATGATGTTTGTGCCACACAAACAAGTGCCATTCAGTTATAGTGTCTTCCCGGTAGTAGAAATTTGTGAAAGAGGAGAAAGAAGGCATCTTCTTATCAATCCAGCCAAGCGTACATTTAGAATCATTGTGCATACTAATTTGCCCAAAAAAACTGAGATAAGACCTCATGAACATTGTTCGGAAAACACCAAACTCCCTCCAACCAAAAATCAGAAATTTTGGCATGACTAGGGATATAAGTTTGAAGATTGCAGTTGGGAAGAACATACAGTAAGGACCTACTTATGTGAGAGTGGGCAAAAATGTATAAGAGGGGCAATTTTGAAATTATGCACCCCGTTCAAAAATAAAATTTTGTCTAAATATGATTCATCTCACATTGTTTGTCCATTTATCTGAAGTTTTGAATATTTCCTCTTCGTGAATAAATGATACAAATTTTCTCTTATAAATTTAGCAGTATTATATTAGTTAAATTATTTTAAAAAAAATATTTTATGATTATTACTATTTTATGTTATTATTATTATTATTATTATTATATTATATGTTATTTTATTTTATTTTTTATTTTTATTGCTGTTGTCATTTAATTAATTAAGATTTTATCCAACCTTAAAAAAAGCTTGATTCACATAAATGGAGAAAAAAATATTCATATAGTCAACCTCATATAATAGAATAAATATATGATATTATTGTTATTATTATCTCAAAAAATACAAAATATTTTATGCCCAAGCTCCTTTCTAAATATTTCTTAGGTAATCCTTTTTAATTTATTTCTAATGCTATCAATATTTAGCCATGTAATTATATAATAAAAATATGAGGTTCAGAGTTGACCGATCATATATACTGACAAAGCATGAGAGCTGAATCTCAAAAGCCATTGTCTGTGAATATTTTATAATTGTATTATTATAATAAAAGCGTCCTTTCTCTAAAAAAAAAAAGAAGAAAAAAAAATATTTTAAGCCAACCAGCCAGCCATCTACTCCACGTCAGCGAAGGCTAGCTCGGTCCACCAAATCCCACATTCCTCTTCGGTTACTTACTGCACGCCGTCACAGACTCACGGATCACCATAACGGTTGCCGTCGACGACGTCGACCAAAGCGCCTAAGCTTCCGACGCCTCTTCTTCTCCCCGGAAGCGATGAGCTCTTGCTCCCTCCTCTTTCTCCTCCTCTTCGTCTTAATCTCACACTTCAGCTCCAACCAATCACAAACCCCAAGAATTCGAGGTAATTCCTACACTAGCTCTCTTTTTCTTCTTTCTCTTTGAATTTGTAAATTTTACTCTATAATAAACCCTAGGTCTCCTGCTCGACTGTGGTGCCGCGGGGCCGAGCGAAGCCGCCGGTGGTCTCCCTTGGTTGCCGGACTACGCCTTCATCGCCACCGGAATTCCTCGGAACCTCTCCCTTCGCGGTCTTATTCCCACTCTTTCCACGCTCCGGTCTTTCCCCGGCGCATCGCACGGCCGATGCAAGTTCTGCTACAGTGTCCCCGTCTTCCGTGGATCTCGCTACCTTGTCCGCACCACTTACTTTTACGGCGGGATCAGTGGGCCCGGCGACCCTCCGGTCTTTGATCAGATCGTTGATGGAACGTTCTGGACCGTTGTCAACACTACGGCGGATTACGCTGCTGGTGCGGCGTCGAGCTACGAAGGGGTTTTCTTGGCCAGGGGGGCCAAGATGAAGGTTTGTGTGGCTAGGAATGACTACACGGATTCTGATCCATTTATAAATAGTCTGGAGATGATCGTTTTGGAGGATTCGGTGTATAATTCCACGGATTTTACACAGAATGCACTGGGTCTGATTGTGAGGAGCAGGTTTGGATATGATGGTCCTATCGTGAGGTAGGCTTTCCTCATTGTTGTTTGAATTGGTTTTATTATATATTACTAAAGGAATTATTTCATTTTTTCCTTATGCCCTCAGATGAATTAAATCAATTGGAAATTTGTTAGACGCGTTTTGTATCTTTGCTTTTTATGATTTTTAATCCAACTTCGAACATAGATTCTGGATAACAATTTGTAGCCACTTCGTAAAGAAGCAATGTGGAAATTTTCTAATGAAATAACAGACTTAATGATCACGTGGCTGCAATTTAATGTAGGAAACAGGGGGAAAAAACTTTTGAAATTTATGCAATTGTCATTACCATCCAACTGCTTCAGGTTACAACCCTTTGACTTCTACCTTGATGAAGTTCAGTAAGGCCATTTTCCAACTTATATAATATATAAGACTTTCAAATGCAATGCCATTAAAATATGCTTGAATCCATGCACGTCATTGTTTTCAACGTCAGTTTCCCAATTGATTTTTCAAGATATTGTTTAGGTCATAAGATTTTTAGCAATATAGTCTTTCCCACTAAGTGCTACAGCACGGAAAGCTTTGAGCTTAGTCCTTGTTGGATTGTTGAAAATTATATTGGTTAGATATACAAATTGGTTAGACCTAACCCAAAAGCTTAAGTAATTGGGTTGAAAATGAGTTGATCACTAGTGTATTTGGACCAACTTTAATTTCCCTTTGGCTTACTTAGTAACAAATGTTATTAGTATTGAGCTAGCTTTTGTGTGAGGCTTTGCACCGTAATGATAAATCTATCGAATCCATTTACCCAGAAACTTTGTTTTTTTTTTTTTTTTGCCATGCTTACTTGATCTCTCAAACTTAAGGGAAAATTCTATAAGATGGTGGTGAGACCTGCAATGCTTTATGGTGCCGAATGTTGGTCATCAAAAGAGAAGCATAATACTAATTTAAGTGTTGCAGAGATGAGAATGCTCAGGTGGATGAGTGGCTTTACTCTTAGAGATAGGATACGAAATTAACATATTCGTGATAAGGTTGGAGTCGCTCCAACGGAAGATAAGATTAGAGAGAGTCGCCTTAGATGGTTTGGTCACATAAAACGGTGGCCTTTTGATGACCCGGTTAGAAAAGTAGAGTTATTAGATTTGATTTATGTTAAGAAAGGTAGAGGTAGACCTAAAAAGACTTGGTTAGAGAATATTAGAAATGATCTTTCCTTATTAGATTTAAACGAGAATTTGATTTTTAACATGACACAATGGAGAAAAAAGATTCATGTAGCCGACCCCACGTAGTGGAACAAAGGCTTGATGATGTTGCGTTGTTGTTGTTGCTTACTTGATCTCAAATCACCAATTGTCTTGCAATGCCTTCTTGTCCTTTTGGAAGCTTCCACTTTGTTAAACCTTTATATCATATTACTCGTTCAAGATAATGTGCAATCAATTTCATAGTTACTCATATTATTCTGGTGTTTGATGTCATGTAAATTCTAATATCCTTGCTTCCATACGCTGTCATCACATCACTCTTGTTCGCCTTCCAAAATTATGGGATATGCCATTCTTTTTCCAATTGCTCAAACTGGATCATGTTCCTCTTCAAGCCAAGTAAACACCTCACATTTAGGCATTTTCGAATCGTCCCGTTTCGTCATCAATAAGATGAATCATCTCGCTTTCTCCATCAAAATAATTTTTCAAAGACTCATATATCATTTTCTCTCTCTTGGTTTTGAGATCATGGTTGTTGAGGAAATTAAATTTTCACAGCCCAACAATATCTCACTTGAAGTTTAATTTCTGATGTTCTCTCTTGAGAGGGATCATCTATGTGCAGCAACCTATCTCGGTACTAGTCGGAGCAGTAGAGATCCTTTTCAACTATAACCTGAACTTGTACTTTATTTCAACATTTTCAATTGTTGTTAGGAGTGAACTCCATTTTTATTGTTGCTAAATGCTAATTATTGGAAGCTGCTCGCATGGAGTTAATTGAAACCCATATCTTTGTGATTAATTTTCTTACACATCTTTTAGGTAATGCTCAGTCTTGGCCAAAATTTTATGCAGTCCACACTAAGATGATTATTTTTATATTTATTCAATTTCAGGGTGTGTATTTTGGTTTTGCTACTACTTTAAAAGCTGGAATTTTTCAATATTTTTAATCTTTCCCACCTACTTAAGAGGGTTGCTTGGTATTTTCTAGTTTATTTTTTTAATCCAACCAGTTGTATATGATGAATTCTACATTTTAATTATGCTTAGTCTCAATTTATTGCCTCTTTCCTCACATTCGGCTATAACCCCTTCTTAACTTTCTATCTTAACATGAAAAATCCAGGTATCCAGATGACAGATTTGATAGATATTGGCAGCCATTTAGTGGAGATGGGCAAGTCATGCGAAACGTTCTAAATGTATCCGTGTCTGATTTATGGAACTTGCCTCCTGAAAATATTTTTAGCACTGCTTTGACATCTGATGGGGGTAATAACATGGAGCTGCAATGGCCTCCCATGTCTCTTCCAAGTTCCCCCTACTATGTCGCTCTTTATTTTGCTGATATGTCAAATGGGAATTCTAGGACATTCGATGTCTTCATCAATGGATATATCTTCTACAATAATCTCGAGGTCACTTCCTCTGGTCTTGTGGTCTTTGCAAACAACTGGAATCTATCTGGTCTTACAAGAATCAGTCTTCGATCTGAATCTGTTCCACATCCAATTATTAATGGTGGTGAGGTTTTTGGCATTTTCTCTCTTGGAAGAATAACTACAACACGAGATGGTATGGATACTAGCATTGAAGAGCTTTTTAATGGATTAATGGCTTCCTTTGCTGTAGGACGTTTTGTATCACATTAAACTTGTATGATTGCAGTAATTGCCCTGGAGAGCCTGAAGAAGAGTATCAGCAATATACCACTTGATTGGGATGGAGATCCATGCTTGCCTCATGAATACTCATGGACTGGTATCACCTGTTCTAACGGATCACAAATTCGTGTTGTCTCCCTGTGAGTTAGATATATCATGTGGATTTTATGTATTTTTCTTGTTACCTAGTAACTTGTTTCCCCTTGATCATGCTAGGAACATGTCAAATATGGGCCTGTCTGGAACTCTGCCTCCCACCATTGCTAATCTGACCGCACTAACTGACCTGTAGGTATCAAACTTTTTTACATTTTAGGCTTCGTTTGGGACGACTTTCTTACTGCTTCTTAAAGCAACTTTCTAGTACAAGAAATTTATTTGTTGTACTAAAATGTTGCTTTAAGAAGCAGCAAGAAAACTGTACCAAACAAAACCTTAGTCTATGTTTGGTTCAATTTAATGCTAACAGTCCTTACACTTGCAGCTCTTTTGCCAGCAATAACATTTCTGGTCATATTCCAGATCTCAAACGGTTAAAGCGGCTTGAGAGATTGTAAGTCATGTTCTTGATTCTTCTTTGAATGGCACTTTGATGACTTGTTTAATCTTTCTTTACCTTCATGTGAAGACACTTGCAGGACAATCATTTTGATGGGAATATACCTTCATCTCTTGTAAATCTTACGAGTCTTCGTGAGCTGTAAGCTCTCTTTCCCCCCTTATTATACTCCTAAAAGACTTGAACTTGGAATCATTCATGCTTGCAAAAGGAGCAGAATTCCATATGATATTCATTTTCTCTTAGGAAGCAACGATTTATTTTTAAATTATACCTGTTTTTTCCTATTAAATTTTCCAGCTTTCTGGAGAACAACAATCTGACTGGTCAAATTCCCAGCAGTCTGATAAAGCAACCTGGATTAAAGCTTAGGTAAATGGCAACGGGGATACATAACTTATCTTTCACAGTTTTTTCCTTTTTAAGGTTCATTTGGGACGGTTTTTTTATTGCTTCTTAAAGCAATTTTCTAACATAAAATTTTTAATTTTTTACTAAAAACCGCTTTAAAAAATAATAAAATAGCCAGTCTCAAATGAAGCATAAATCTAATATTTGCTTATTGTATTTCTTGATAGGCTTTCACCTGGGAATAACTTTACCTCAGCACCCATAGTGAGGTGACATTTACTATATATTCCAGTTTCCGAAACCTGCTTGGATGGACTGGAAATCAAATGCTGGGTGAATTCATTCTCCAGTTGGGGCTGGTAAATCGCGTTTCCTTACGTGCTTTTGTAGATATGGTTCAATTTGTTTGCTCAATCTTAACAGAAGAATGGGGAATTTTAGGCCAGGGGGTTATATTTCTGTGGAATGGGCTGTGGAAGCTACCAGCAAGTGTGTGTACATATTGATTCTTCAGGGAGGTTAGGCTCACAAAGTTTCTTTAGTTTTTTATAGCAAGTCATGGAAAATAATTTAAATTTTTGTTCGTGTAGTGGCTTGTTTTTTGTTGGACAAACATGATTGATTAATGAATAAACTTTCTACTGAAACTTTGTTGGATTGTGACTGAATGTTTAGATAGAATATCATTTTAACCCTCGTCTAATTATTTTTAGAGAAATATTTAGATATGTTTGGGGCAACTTTCTCATTGTCTTTCTTTCAAATCACAACCAAACTTTCGTTGCTTTTTTTTGGTTGTTTTTCAAAAGTTTTGGTAATGGGAAGCTATTTTTGAGGTGGCTACAAATATTTTAAAGGGAGGTTAGGCTCACAAAGTTTCTTTAGTGTACATATTATTTGTATATATAAATAAATAAATATATATAGCTTTTTTTTTGGAAATTTTGGGGGCAATTGCCCATATATTGATCAAGAAGAGGTTGCATGTAAAACAAACAATTACAACTCAAAAGTATACAATAAAGTAAAGAGCTGTCAAAAAAGAACCAAAAAAGAGTAATGGAGCAAAATGTCTCAGTCGGGCTCAAGAAAAATCCAAACAGAATCCCAAGCTAAGAATCACTGCCAGAACAGCTCAAAGCCATTAGAATTGAAGAGACGGCTGGAGCACCCCGGTTGCCATAGAAATCCAGCACCCAGCCCAGGCAAAATGCCTTCCAAGGAGTACACCGGTTGCAAAATGCCATTCCAAAAGAAGAAACGGAGGCCCTCCTGGGGTGCAAACATACGGGATCTGATGGAAACATCATTGCCCAGAGACTCCCAAAAATCCATCACGAATAGAAAGTTGAGAAGAAAAACAGGACTGAAAAAATTGTCTAAGACTGTCATGATTCTTCCAGTTTTTAGTCTTAGCCGTAATAGCATAAATAATTTTGTGATACACAACAACAATAGACGAACAGTTCCCAGCATACCTCCTGCAATTTCTTTCCCTCCAGGTAAAATAAATCACACAGCAAATGACCAAAAAAGAGAAGTTTTTCTCAGCAGAATTAAAGGTATGAACCTCATCCAGAAATTCAAAAAGTTGCATTAGTGTGGGTCTAAAGAAAAACCCAAATAAATCTGGAATCAGCTCCCTTAAAAGATTGAAAGTAAAATCACATTGGAAAAAGAGGTGCATTATAGTTTCGTCCTCGTTAGAACAGAGAGGGCACATAGCAGGAATAAAGATATTCCTAGAAGTCAAAATCTCAGCAGTTTTCAGTCCATCGTTTACGGCTAATCATGTATAAGCAGAATATCTAATAGCAGATTTTTTATGCCAAACAAATCTGTGCCAGCTAACCACTATTTCCTCCTCAAAGAAAAACGGCTTAAAAATTTTGAAGACCGAGGGGCCTTTCCCATTCCACGTAATGCTGAATGGACCATCAATAGGTTGGATAGAATGAATCAGAGTAGTGACATTAGGATCAAGATTCAAGGGTATGCACCAGTTGCCATCACAAAGATAGTCAGAAACAATTTCAAAAGGCAAAGCATTACTTTGGGTGATATTAGCAATCGAATTCCCTAAAATCCACGGGTCCCAGTAAAAAGAAAGAGGGCTTTCAGCTTTGCTACTTAATTCTAGAGGCAACAGTGAAGATATATTTTCAGAATTTAGAGGCATATGAGGGACAATCCCTGTAAGGAGAGTGGTACTTATATCTGAGCCATGAAGCAACCAAAGAATTGGTATTATAGTATCTCCACAAAAAGGTGCAGGCAAAACCAAATTGCATAGACTGAATGTCAGGAATTCCCAAACCCCCAAAGGCAGTGGGTCTACACGTGTTCTTTCAGGAGATTAAATGCAGTTTTTTAATTGCCATATTCCCATGATAAAGAAATCTGGCACAATATCTATCAATGAGTTTGCAACAACTCTTAGGTATAATAGCCCCTCTAATCCAATACGCAAGGGTATTGGCAATGGTGAATTTTAAGAACGGGATTCTACCTGCAAAAGACAAGAACTTTACTTTCCAACCATCAAGTAGATAGAAAGCCTACTTAGTAGTGGAAGGAAGTTAGAAATAGAAAGTTTTTTGAGAGCAATAGGTAAGCCAAAATACTACATAGCAGAATCAGAAATCTGATACCCCAAAAGGTTGGCAATATCAGAATTAAGATGGAAATCTTTAGAGAAAATAATGGTGCATTTGCTTTTGTTAATCTTAAGACCAGAAGAAGCAGCAAAGTCATTCAACGAATGGTTCAGGGCATTAGCATTTTGAAGATTGGTTGTACTGAACACCAAGACGTCATCAGCATACAGTAAATGGCTCAAAGAGTGCTTCCCATATTGGATACCCCTGAAATCACCAGAATCGAGAGTACAAGAGAGAGCATCCATAGCTATGTCAAAAAGCAGTGGGGAGAGGGGGCATCCCTGTCGGAGACCCGAAGAAGAGATGAAATAGCCCTCAAGTTTACCATTGAGACAAATAGAAAAAGGAACATCGTATATGCAACCATTAACCCAATTAATAAATTGAGGAGGGAACCCCTTGAGCCTCATCCTATGAGAGATGAATTCCCTAGAAACCGTATCAAATGTTTTTTTATGTCAAGTTTGGCACAAAAGTGATTATTTCTTGAAGCCAGGCCCATTTCTCTCAAAATTTCAGAAGCAAGGATGATGTTATCAGAAGATAGTCTGTTTTTAATGAAACCAACTTAGCTATGATGGATAATAATGAGCATGATATCTCTCATACGATTGGCAATAATTTTGTAAAAAGTGTTGCAAAGAGAGATTGGTCTAAAATCAGCAATGTGAGAGGCATGGGGATGCTTAGGGATCAATACAATGGCAGTTGCTTTAACATAATTCGGGAGCAGTCCCGAAGAAAAATAATTCTTAATGGCTTGGCAGACATACAACCCAGTAATCTCCCAAGAGCTTTTATAAAACTCAAATGTGTAGCCATCAGGACCAGGAGAGGAATTGGGGGCCCCTTCAAAAATAACCTTTTTAATTTCAGTATCAGTAATGGGGCTAAGGAGAGAATCCAAAAAGTGAGCAGGTACAGTATTGCCAATGGGAAGGCTAGCAGAATTTGCGTAGGAAGGGTTAGGGGAGTTGAAAATAGCTTTAAAATGAGAGACCATAGCAGTGCCAATCTCAGTAGGAGAAGAAAAATGCCCTTCAGCAGTAGTGATTTCCTTAATCTGATTGATGTGATATAGCTTCATTTGAGATAGTTAAATAGCTTTTTAGTACAAAGCCAAATCTAATCAAAAGAATGTATAGGAGAGATCTATAAGGAAAGCCGTGACAGAGCTGCCCTAAACAGGCCTACTCTACTAAGATTGTTTTTTAAAAAATACAATATTTATAGTATGAATAACAGTAATTTAGAAATAAAATACCGTTTCTCGCAATAATTTTATAATTATATTTATGAAAAAAATGTATTAAGCTAAACGAACAAAAAAAAGGGGAAATACGAGATCATTATTTGTGTAAGTAGAAGTTATATTCAACACAAATGAGCTATTAAATGATCTCATAATACCACCGTTTGCTACCTAAATGGGCATCTTCTTTTAGGGTTCTTTCAAATATCAAATTCTTCATAAAAAATGCTAAAAACAGTATCCGATCAACTCCTCACAGCAGTGAGCAGGATAATTTTATTCTCCTCTCGAGGAACTTTATTTGGTCTGGTCACAGGACGTAGCTCTACGTTCGGCCGCCAGTAGAATTACGCCACGCGTTCTCACTATTTACATGCGTCCCGACAACCCAACCCGGAACGGACCAAGGATGGCTCGGTATTTCTCGATTTTGCTCGGTATTAATCAGTATGGCTAGGTATTGGTCGATTTTGCTTGGCAATAATCAATACCGAGCAAATACCGAGTAATACCGAGTTGTACCGAGTTTTCTAGAAATACTCGGTACAACTCGGTATTACTCGGTATTTGCTCGGTATTGGTCTTCACATAGCGGTATTTTTTGTTATTGTCATGCAATACCTAGCAATACCGAGCAATACCGAGGAAATACCGAGTAGTACCTCGCAATACGTGAACATAGCATTCCGGGTTCCGGTCTGAGTCAAGTCGTCGGGCCACACGGTAGAGAGTAAGAGCACGCGACGACATGTTATTGGCGGCCGAACGTAGCTCTATGTCCAGTCAGAGGACGTAATAATTGTTCCCTCTTGAATAGAAGCTTGGATTAGAGCTACTAAGATTTTGTACGGAAAATGTTTTTATTACTTTTGAAATTAATTTTTAGGTTTTGTTTTGGATCGCTTTCTTACTGCTTTTTAAAGCAGCTTTCTTGTATAAAAATCAAAATTTTTGTACTAGAAAACTGCTTTAAGAAACAATAAAAAAATCATCCCAAACGAAGCCTTAGTATAAAAATCTCTTGACAAAAAAAAAAATTATACTAAAAAATTATTCTAAAAAATAATAAGAAAATTATCTCAAATGAAACCTAAAACTACAAGATTCAACAACTCTTTTAAGTAAATACTGATACATTCATCCTTACCATGGACACATGCAGAACAATTGCCATGAAGGATTCCGAGACTTTATAGAAATCAATCTCTTTTAAAAGCCAAATTTTTAAAAAGGAGCAAAGTTGTAGATTTGTATGATACATTTATATGAGCTGCGGATTTGAGGCGAATGCGCCAACTAATTTGGCAAGAATAATGCGCCAAATAAAGTGGCGCATTCAACTTCTGCATTTTGGACTTTCAACTCCTTGATGTGAACTTCTTCTCCCCTGATTCTATTGGGGTCAATCAGTTCCTTTCTTGATGGATTATTGGATATGCAGGCATTCGAATTATTTTTCTGATTTGGAGGGTTGTTCCATCCTTGCCCTCACCCTCAAGAAAATTATTAAGTGTGGACACCGAACGCGTTAGAACGTCAATCAAGAACTGTCACGTCACCCAATGCACAATGCATTATGTGATGTGGCCGCTCCTAATTGGCATCTGGATGTGTTCCACTTCCGCACATAATAATCTCTTTTCCCTCAGATGGTCCATTGACAACCTTCACAGGATGGCTAACGCGACAACCATGGAGTTTCTTCTGCACTTGATCTTATTCTAATTTTTGGATATAACTTTTGG